TGATGTCTTTTTATAATATCCCCGGACATTCGATTATGCTCTAAGGTAGGAAATGTATAGCAGATATAGCAGATATAGGAGGTATAGGAGATATAAGAGATATAGGAGATATAGTAGATATAAGAGATATAGGAGATATAGGAGGTATAGGAGGTATTGGAGGTATATGAGATATAGCACTATTATTTTTTTAATCCTTGCTCGTTTACATATTTTTATTTATTTTTTAACCCTTGCTCGTTTACATTTAAATAAATATATCTCCTATACCTCTATATCTCCTATATATCCTATACCTCTATATCTCTTATATCTCCTATATCTGCTATACATTTCCTACCTTAGAGCATAATCGAATGTCCGGGGATATTCTCGGAAGACATCGAATCATATTAGATAGTACTGATGCAATAAAAATTTATTGTTTTACTAAAGTATTAAGTTTCGATTTCTTTGACATTTTATATAAAAAAAAACGTATAAATCCTGTTTACGATTATTCTCTCAGTGATTTTAGGCTCCCTTAAACTAAGCAATTATCCAGAAGATAAAAAAGACGATATCACTGAAATCTGAGTCACTCAAAGATTTTTTCAATAAACAATCAATAGAATTAAGTTCGATACGATAAAAAGAACAGCGAATTTTCTTCTTATTAATTTCAAACATATGCTGATGTTTTCAAACAAGTTCTTATAAAAATGTTGCTAAAAAATCTAGAGCACACGTATAAATAACAGGTTGAATTCAATAGACGAAGTGCTCATCTGTTTTTAAAATAACTATACGTATTCGAGGATGTGACGAAAATATCGCGCAATTTATCCATTATTTTGCGAGTCTATTCAGTGATTAGTTAAAGACATGAACGATATCGTCATTAAATAATACTATAAATTAAGAGGATGAGACAAAGAGATACAGAACAGTGATGGCAATAACCAATTGAAATACATGCATGTATAAGCGATAACTTCTATCTACACTCAGCTAATATATCTTCGGTAAATATGATGGAATAAAGGATACAGATATTTGCATTGTTGACAACCATTTCAACAGAAAATTTCTTTCTAGACCTTCAAATCTTAGAAATCAATTTTGGTTTACTTATTAAAGTAAGACTACTTCAATTGCTGCCAATAGGCGACGAAATTCTTTTCTCTCATATCCTCCATATACTTTTCTTTTAAATCTATCGACTATATTACTGCTTTTCCATTCTCTTAATCGAAGATATTGCGATATACCTTGTCCATTCTGGATAGCTAAGGCGAAATATGCATTCACATCTATTTCTTATTCGCATACTTTAAGTCTCTTGATTTCAAGATTCATTTTTCTATTCTTAGATAATACATCAAACAGGAGATTGTAGTTGTAATTATTGCTTGTCTGATCTCGTTATTAAAATAAGTTTAATCATACAGTTCCGCTATCTTATACGTTAAAACGCTTTGAAACCTTTTGTTTCATTGGTACAATGAACGTATTATAAAGCGTTGTCTTTTTCTATTTCTACCTCTAACGCATCAAAACACTCTTTTAGCATTTGTTCATCTACGTAGACAATTGGTATTGGAAGTGTCGATGAAAAGATACTATTTGTTTTAGTAGACTGAAAGAAAACATAAATATAGAGCTGAGTAAAAGCAATCCATGCTAATTCCCAGATATGATTTTACAGGCTATTGAATCAATTTGGAATATAGAAAACATAGATTTCATTGTTTTCGAAGTTCTACTCTTTTTTATTAGAAAAATATGGTACTCGAATTTAAGTAGGTAATCCAGTTCCAAATGCTGGTGAATATATACACCATCTACTTCTTTTGTCATGAATCCAATAGAGCATAATCTCACAATTGAATCCATGAATGACTTGTATTGAGCTTTCTTCCTTTACTTCAACAACAAGAACCATTGATTACTTTCTTTTCAAAATATGATTTTTGTCATATTAGTTGATATCGAACGGCAAATTTCTGAACATAGAAGTGGTATCTTCTCCTCACATTAACTAAAGTATTAGTGCTATTTATCTCCATCAAACATAAGTATAACAATTTCGCTACACATGTGACATTTATTGTCAGAGCATTTCGCATCAGTAACAAGGCTCGGTGAATTTAAAAAGCAAACTGAGCTTGTCATTTATGAAAGAAAACTTGAAGATAGTAATTATTGAATTAGTTTTTTAAAAATAATACATAGTTAAAAGAGTAACATGTTCTAAGTGTCACAAGACACTGTTTCTTAATAGTTCATAGTTTTATGAAACAGTCGATTTTAAATCTATCTTAAAGATATAGCCAAGAGAAAATATCATAAGAAAATAATCATCAAAATCACTATCTACAAGTCTTCTTTCAAGCTCACTAATCTTTATCACAGTTCCGACAGATTCTAATAATAAATCTCATATATCTAGTGCAATTGTGGTACCTATATTAAATGAAGAGAAATATTTTCTAAATATTGCGTGAAATAATGGAAAGTTATAATCACTATGTTTACAAAGTTTCAGACCAGATTATATCAATGTGGTGAAAATTCTACCTTAAAAAGAAGATAATCGATCGTTTTTGTAAATATTTTGTCCTAATCAAAATAATCACTCCGCGGTCATTCAGGTAAACCTTGCAACTTCAATAAATGTAGAAGCATTCAAGGGGGAAAAAGCGAGACTTCAGGAGTGTGTACTTCACTAGTACTTCATCGGTACTTCACCGGTACTTCACTCATACTTCACTCATACTTCACTCATACTTCACTCTACTTCACTCATACTTCACCCTACTTCACCGATACTTCACCCTACTTCACCGATACTTCACTCATACTTCACCCTACTTCACCGATACTTCACTCTACTTCACTCTACTTCACTCATACTTCACTGGTACTTCAATGTACTTCAGTTGTACTTCACTATACTTCACAAGTACCTCACTAGTACTTGAAGTACAAATGAAATCCCGACTGAAGTAGAAGTGAAGTAGAAACGAAGTAGATGTGAAGTAGATGTGAAGTACAATGAAGTACCAGTGAAGTATGACTGAAGTACAGTGAAGTACGATACTTCACGGTACTTCAGTCGTACTTCAATTTACTTCAGTCATACTTCACGGGTACTTCATTATACTTCACTTCTACTTCAGTCGTACTTCACTCATACTTCAATCTACTTCACATCTACTTCAATCTACTTCACTTCTACTTCAATCTACTTCGCTCGTACTTCAAAAACATTTGAAGTAGATGAAGTCTCGCTTTTTCCCCCTTGAGAAGCATTTCTTGACATACCTGTGACAGTTTTGCATCATTATTTTTATTAAAATTTTGTACAACTTTAAAAGTATTTTTTTACGTTAGAGGTTCTGCTGAGAAGAAGTTTTAAATTCTAGAGAAAATCTGGACTTTTGCGACAGTAAATGTCTTATACGATTTTTCGAGAAGAACTAAATAAACAATACAAACTATCGATTTTGTCCGAGATAGTTCTACTGAAAAGTGTTTTTGTCCGACTTTTGTTGCAGAAGCGTGTCTGTTTTTGAAATTTTGGTGAAAAAAAGACACTCGCATTTTCTGTTTCATTGTTTAACCTAATTATATGTTATGACGCTTGTTTGTTGTGTAAAATACTATATCAGAGTATTTTATGCCATAAACAAGATAGCATGTTAAATTTCCTTTCGTTGTCTTGCTTAGCTTGATTATTGTGTCAGTTGACAACAAGTTGTATCTTATATGCATGATCACAACGATAAATTTTTAGTATACGAATAATAAAAATATGAAAGAAAATGATAGTGTTCGCAGAGCTTTTTTCATTCGTCCGTGGTCTCGAGTTTCTCTGGTTTTTCAAACACCATTCCTCTTTTTCAGCATTAAGAGGATGCGGAAAAATTCTCTCGTGTTACGTTTTCTTCTCACTAGAATTTGGACTTCCAAGACAAACATGATTTCTATTACAGACTATTTCAGCTTCTATATATTCATTTAAATTAAAAACCTTGATAACATAAACAGACTCATATATGTATGATGAAAAGAAGTATAAAAGGAAGAAAAAGAGAAGATAAAATCGATAAACAGATAAAGATGTCATATCATCATAACAAATTTATCAAATATTTGAGTGCATCTGAATGAGCTAGAGAAACAACTTTGATCTACTCAATCAATAGGAAAGATTTATATGGAACTAACAATAGTATTAAATGAGACTGTCAGTTAAGTTTTTTGTACTAGGAAAATACTGACACTATCTGTTAGAATTTTACAAAATTCCATGGTTCTTTTTATCCTAATAGTAGAAAAAAACAATAGTTCAGCATTCACATTGAATTAGTATTAACACAATGAAAATGCTGACGACTTTCATAAAAAACAATACGGTTTTATTTCTAAGAGATGAATTCCTGACAGTGGACAATCGTACTTTTTTTTTGACACAGCCGTCAGTGCTTGCATTATGTTAATACTAGTTTGATAAGAGTCCCAAACTATCGTGCTTTTTATATAAACATTAACACAAAACTATTACATAAGACTATTAGTGAGCATAGAAAATCCCAGGTCAAAATTGTTCTATCGGATTCTGTCGAGTCTAATAATATTCCTCGACTTTTGAAGTAGGATCGAATATTATACTATGTTAGGCTTTTCATTTTAAGATATTGAAATAGTTTTGATTACTGCTAACTAGAGTACGTCGGTTCCAAAAATTACCCGGAGCCGGAACCGCGGTTCCGGTCCGGTTCCGATCAGTAGAAATGAGAAAAGAGCGGTTCCGGTTCGGTTTCGGTTCTAAAAATTACCTGAAACCAAGCCAGAATACGGCTCGGGTCCGGTTCCGACCCCTGGAAATGAGAAAAAGATCGGTTCCGGTTCGGTTTTCGGTTCCATTTTTTTGGAACCGCCGTACCCTACTGCTAACAGATAATACTCAGCCAACACCCTTAATACAGATTCTGTTCAGTTAGAGAGGCAATTCGATGAAAATTCATTACAATACTGATATGAAACATCGTTTGAACATCCAGCTTTTGCATTATAATTCACGAAGCTCTCATTATTCTAGCGCCAGCATCATTTGCACAAGCTCGCATTTGGCTTGATGAACGAATTCGATTCGATCCAGAGAAACCACAAGTAGCAATCTATAATATGCCTTTTGTTTATCGTCTGCAACAAGGTTCTACATTATCAATTACACAACTTCGTCATGCTCTTCATCTCACTGTTAACAAACATCTCTCACTTCACACATCACTTCATTTTGACATCCACAAGAATCTACTTATGCAACGAGTTATTACTCATGAAGATGAACATAATAATAAGATGTTTTCAATCATTGAAACTACCTATGAAACAGATGAACAATTAAATGGAATTTTACACGACGAGAAACGTAATGCTCGTCTTTTTGATCTTGGTCAAGGTCTTGGCTTTCGATGTCACATCATTTACTATCAACAAATCTCTTCAAATCATCTTCTTTCTCATAAAGATGTACTCATCTTCAATTTTCATCATGCTTTGTTTGACTTTCCATCGATGGAAGTGTTTCATCATGATCTTAATCAAGCATATACAACAGGTCAACTATTATATGATGACAACACTAATCTTCGTTATCTTGATTGTAAATATAAATAGTTCTTATATATTTGTCTTTCCTAATACAGTATTTTCTTTAATTATATAATAGATGCTGTTATTGAACAACAAATGTCAATGACTGGTGCAAGTATGTTTTGGCTTGATGTTCTTCATGATTGTAAACTTGATCAACCTTTGTCATTACCATTTGATCGATATCGTCTCTCAAATGAACATCGAACTGGTCGTGGAACATCTGTTTCTTTTGATTTTGGTCAAGATCTCTCACATGACTTTCTTATCCATACATCAGCAAATAGCATATCACTGGAACAACTTGCACTTGCTACTTATTATGTGTTTTTATTCAGATTAACGAATGGAGAAAAAGATTTGTGCATTGGAATAAATACCCATGGTCGATATAGAGATGAACTTAACTCTATCATTGGAATGTTTGTGAATGCAATACCATTACGATGTCAACTCGATCCTCATTTATCATTTCATGAACTTACTAAACACGTACGAGATATTATGATAAACTATATTAAATACTCATATTTTCCTCTTCAACGTATTCTCAATCAACATCCCAATATATCAAATCCTGTATTTCTTGACACATCATTCGAATTTCTATCATCTATGACAAAAGATGAAGAGAATGAAATAATGATTGGTGGTTGTCGACTTTCTTTACTGCCTTATTCGATTCAGATTAGTGAAGATGAAATAATGAGCAAATTTGATTTTATTCTTAGTTTTGAACATGATCTGATTCGAAATGAGTTGTCATGCACCATCAATGCATCACTTGATTTATTTAATGCTGAAACAGTTTGTATAATTGCACAAAGATTACAGACAATGTTACATCAACAATTCACATCTTTCGACTGTACAACAAACAAGCCAATCTGTGAATTATCATTAGCATTATCAAATGAACAATATCTAATGCAATCAATGAATAATACACAAATATCATTTTCATCTCCTCTTACTTGTATTCATCATGAGTTTGTATATCAAGTAATGAAACATCCACAGAAGTTAGCAGTTGAACTAGATGAACAATCATTGACGTATTGTGAACTTTTGTATTATGTTCAAGTGTTATCTTTAACTCTTCTTAATGAGTATCATATCACTCCAGGTGAGGTCGTTTGTCAATGTGTTGAGCGAAGTATGTCAATGGTAAGTTCATTGAAGAAATAATTGTTTAAAATAATAAAACATTCATTTGAACTAGGTGGTTGGTATAATGGCAATTGAAATGGCTGGTGGTGTTTATTGTCCCTTGTCACCTCGAGATCCACAACATCGTTTACATGCTCTTATAAAACAAACACGCAGTCGTCTGGTTTTAGTTCATCTTTTAACGAAGACCAAGTTTCATGATGATTGTATTGTACTTGATATTAGTTTAATACTAAATGTTAATAATATGGATAGTGACATAAATTATAATTGCCTTTCAAATGTGAAAGTGAAAGGCAAAGAAATAGCCTACATTATTTTCACTAGTGGATCAACTGGAACACCTAAAGTGGTTCGTTTTCACTTAATTTGTTGATTTTTGATCGATTCTCATGCTCTTTCATAGGTTCAAGTTCGACATAAGAACTTTATTGGTTGTATGCATTCTTTCATTTACATTAACTTATTTAATAAATATGACATAGTAGTACAAATAGCACGATGCTCATTTGATATTCATGTTCAAGAAATCCTTGGCACATTGTTAGTTGGAGGCACATTGATTATGCTTCATCCAGGTGGAACTATTGATCTCAATTATTTATCCGAAGTCTTAGGGAACAAACAAATCACATATCTAAAAGCTGTGCCAAGTTTACTACACATATTCTTCACTTTTATTCAACAGAGCAAGAACATAAATGCTGTGAAATATCTGCGCTCACTTTGCAGTGGCGGTGAGTGATTTTCAAAGCAATTTCGTCCATTTCTCGCATGTATTTTCTATTTTTTAGGTGAGGCTTTTTCCGTTCATTTGGTTGGCTTAATAATGAACATCGGTAAAGTAAACTGTATTGTATGGAATCTGTACGGTCCAGCAGAAGCAACCATAGATTGTACAGTTCGCCGTGTAAGTATCAGAAATAATACACAGAGCATTCCTATTGGCACACCACTTTCTAATTACCGATGTATGGTCATAAATCAATATTTACAACCATCTGTTACATGTCGAGAAGGCGAGCTGCTTGTGGGAGGAGGAGGTGTCTTTGCTGGTTATCTTGGTCGTGATGATCTAACTGCAAAAGCTCTTGTTGAAATAGATGATGAATTATTTTATCGAACAGGTGATCTTGTTAAAATAGATAACAAAGGTCTTCTTCATTATCAAGGAAGAAAAGATCATCAGATCAAATTACATGGACAAAGAATTGAACTTGGTGAAATCGAACGATGTTTACTTAACATTACATCCATCTCTACTTGTGTTGTCATGAAATATAATGAAGATCATCTAGTCGCTTATGTTCAATCATCTCATATCAATGAAGAAGAACTACGTAAACATTGTCAATCTCATCTTCCACCACACATGATACCATCTTTCTTTATCATACTCAATACATTACCTTTGAATGCTAATGGAAAAGTAGACAGAAAACAACTTCCTTCACCTCAATTTTCTTTATCGACTTTGTTATCGTCCGATAAATCTGATACTCCTCTTAATCAGCTCGAACAACGTATACACACTATTTGGTGTCAAGTTCTTCATTGTAATCAAAATCACATTTCTAGAACTACCAGTTTTTTTAGTGTTGGTGGTCATTCACTATTATTTATTGAACTTTATCATCATTATCAATCAGTATTTAACTTTGATACTCATACACTTTCGATTGCTCCATTTCTCCAACAACCAACTATTTTTCAACATTCACAATTACTTCAAACAGTTATAATGAATAATACCAAGCCAACACAATGGTATACCTTACATATAAATGAAGGTAAAAGTGTTTACTAGGAAATCATTTAAATAGTTTCTATTGTTTAATTGATAGGTATTGCCTCTTTTGCTCAAGAACGTATCTTTCTTGATGAACAAGTACGTTTTTCGGGTGATATTGCTATCTACAATGAACTGACGACTTCACAAATTGTTGAAGGATCACTGTCATTCAATCGTTTATTACAAGCATTTCGATTTGTTTTGAATAAACATAAAGTATTACGTACATCTCTTATGTTTAACAATGATAATAGTAGTTTGAAACAATGCATCACAAATATACATAAAAAATTCACAATAACTATGAATCAAACATTTGAAAATGACAATGAACTTCAAGACATTATTTATCAAACAACTATTAATCCAAATCTCTTTGATTTATCAACGGGTCATGTTTTTCATGCTGAAATTCTGAAACATCAAATACCTTTAAATGAAAATGGAAATGAAAATGGTAGCAATGAGTTCATAACTAATTCTGATGTTCTTCTCATTGCTTTTCATCATGCAGCATTTGATCGAGCAAGTCGTTCAATCTTTTTCAATGATCTATGTTTAGCTTATAATACTAATGCAACATCAATAGAAGATGATGATGAATCATTGCAATATATTGATTATAGTATGCATGAACGTCTAACTGATATGACAACATCTCGTGAATTTTGGTATTTACAATTAGAAGGGTACAATTTCGGCTCTCGACTATTATTACCAGTTGATCGGCATCATTTGTCTAACGATCACCGATCGAGTTCTGCTTCTATCACTCAAATCTCGTTTGACAACGAGATTTCACAATCATTTCTTGATTATGCTTCTATCCATCATGCAACACTATTTCAGTTAGGTCTGAGTATCCTATATGCTTTTCTTTTCAAGCTAACTCATGGTGAAAATGATTTGTGTATTTCTTGTCTTAATGCTAATCGATACAAAACTGAATTGCAGAATATAATGGGAATGTTTGTTTCGACACTACCACATCGTATTCAACTTGATCCTCATTGGTCATTTGATGATCTTGTTAAATATGTGCAAGAAAAATGTTTATCAATACTTGAACATTCACATTATCCACTTCAACGTATTCTTGCTAATTTACATATTAATCAATCAAATATTTCATTTCTCGAAACAATGTATGACTTTATCACTTTATCGTCACATAGCGATGAATTATCTTTGAATGATGCAAGTTTCAAGCAAGTGTCGTTCGAGCAATCGTTTGAAGTGGCTAAGTTTGATTTTATGCTGACATTTATCTATAATCCAATATTGGAAAATAATCGATTATCATTTCGTTTAACTTGTTCACGTGATTTGTTTGATGAGATTACGGTTACAAATATAGGTCGAAGATTAGAATATTGTTTTCAACAACTGTTTTCATCGAATCAAACTATTAATCAAATTGATACAAGTTTTACATTTGTATCGAAAATTAATCTCATATTACCAGAAGAAACTCAAGAAATGGAAGATGTTATCTTTTGTCGACAATCACATATTATAAACGAAGGTATGTTTATCTAGATATGACGTTGTTCCTAATGAACATTTATACTGACAGACCATACATTATATATTGATATCACTGCAGATAAGTTCCTATATCACTCGGATCATCCGAGAATCAGCACTCTACCATAGAGTGAGTGTATGATAATGAATGGATGCGAATGTGAATTCTTTATTCATATACATACTCTCAGTCACTTAAGATTTTTCACGAAAATATAACACATAAATTAATTATTCAAGATGATTTTTCCTATAGATAGCTATGTAATGGTGTAGAATGTCCCATGATTCGTGTCTTTTGCACTTTGAAGACTACCATTTTTAACTCAAACATCATTTTTCCGCTTAAAATAAGCATTTATGTCAACAATAAAACTTTTGTCTAATTCTTCTCCATGGAGATTTTTGTCTTATGTATAAAATAATACAACAGATTTGTTTACAAAACTTTATATTATTCTTAAATGTCCTTCCATTTCTTAAAAGCTTTTTCAAGAAGTTAAAATGTCGTTTAAAAAAATTCCATAGTTCAAGTGTTAGCACCACTAGAACATTCAAAAGAAAATGTAGCTGACGCCGTATCAAAAACACCATGGCGTCTTATCTCATTTGCCTGTTTATTTCAAGTTTCTTATGAATAATCGATATAATAGCATACATGCCTCCCGCAAACAACAACATTAGGTATACTATTTAACAGTTTCATTCGTAGACTAACTCGATAGTGATTAGAACTCACACAACATAGATTTCGCAAGCGATATCATTAATTATCTTTGATTGCTTTCTTTTTCATATAGCACCAGCATCCTTTGCACAAGCTCTGCTATGGTATAGTGAGTCTATTCATTTCGTTCCTCACATATCACAAGTATCAATCTACAACATGCCTTTTCTTTATCGTCTCCACTCACACCATACTTTATCGGTACAACATCTTCGTCATGCTCTTCAACTAATCGTTGCAAAACATGAATCTCTTCGAACATCACTCATATTTCATAAACACAACAATCGACTCATGCAACAAATCATCGACTTCAATCAGAATAATAATACATTATTCACATTTATTGAAAGCACTTATACAACACATGAACAACTCAATCATATTATACATAAAGAAAAATATAATGCTCAACTTTTAAATTTTTCTCAAGGTCTAGTCTTTCGATGTCATCTTGTTTATTACAAACAAATCTCCTCAGATCATCTCCTGTCTCACAAAGATCTACTTATTTTCAACTTTCATCATGCTCTGTTTGACTTTCCATCAATGAATATATTTCTTCATGATCTTAACCAAGCATATACAACAGGTCAATTATTATATGATGATAATACTAATCTACGTTACCTCGATTGTAAATATAATTAGTTCTTATACTTCACTCTTTTCTAATACATTATTTTCTTCAATTACATAATAGATGCTGTTATTGAACAACAAATGTCAATGACTGATGCAAGCATGTTTTGGCTTGACACTCTTCATGATTGTAAACTAGATCAACCTTTATCATTACCATTTGATCGATATCGTCTTGCAAATGAACATCGAACTGGTCGTGGAACATCTATTTCTTTTGATTTTGGTCAAGATCTCTTACATCACTTCCATACACATGCTTCATCAAATAACATGTCACTTGAACATCTTACATTTGCTATTTATTTCATCTTTCTATTTAAATTAACTAATGGAAAAACAGATTTATGTATTTCAATGAATATTGATAATCGGTATAGAGATGAACTAAAATCAATCATTGGATTGTTTGAGAATGTCTTGCCATTACGGTGTCAACTAGATCCTCACTGGTCTTTTCATCAATTACTCGAGTATGTTCAAGAGATAACAACAAATAGTATGAAATATTCATATTTTCCGCTTCAACGTATTCTCGATCAACATCCACATATTTCAAAACATGCATTTTTGGATACATCTTTGGAACTTATATCATACAAGAATAATAATACAGTGATAATTGGTGATTCTCAGCTTGTTCCAGCATCTATCTTATTCAATATTAATGAAGATGACATACTAAGTGCATCCGACTTTTCTCTTTCTATTAATCGTGACTTGAACATGCATCAACTATCATGTACAATCAATGCATCACTTGACTTGTTCAATAGAGACACAGTGGAGAAGATTTCACAGAGATTTCATTCCATTTTACATCAATTATCTACATCTATTACCGCCAGTCAAATAAACAAACAAATCTACGAAATACAATTAGGATTGCCAAATGAACAATATCTAATACAATCATTAAATAACACACAAATATCATTTCCATCTTCTCTCACTTGTATTCATCATGAGTTTGCATATCAAGTAATGAGACATCCACAAAAACTAGCTGTTGAACTGGATGATCAATCATTGACATATTGTGAACTCTTACATTATGTTCAAGTCTTATCTTTAGCTCTTGTTAATGAGTACTATATCTTTCCAGGTGAAATAGTTTGTCAATGTGTTGAGCGAAGTTTGTCAATGGTAAGTTGATTAGGAGAAGTAACTGTTTATGTGAATATGAGATTGTATTTGATTAGGTGATCGGTATTATGGGAATTGAGATGGCTGGTGGCGTTTATTGTCCATTATCACCTCGAGATCCACAACATCGTTTGCATGCACTCACTCAACAAACACAAAGTCGTCTTGTTCTTTTTCATCATTTAACTAAGACCAAGTTCGATCATGATATTGTTTCACTTGATATTAATTCTATATTAAATGTGAATAATATGGATAGTGACATGAATTATAGTTGCCCTTCAAATATGAAACTGAAAGGGGAAGAAATAGCTTACATTATTTTCACAAGTGGTTCAACTGGAACACCCAAAGCGGTTTGTTAACACTTCGTTTTTCTAATCTATGATTGATTTTCATGGTCTTTCATAGGTTCAAGTTCGACATAAGAACTTTATTGATTGTATACATTCTTTAGTTTATATTAACTCATTTAATAAAGATGATACAGTTGTACAAATGACACGATGTTCATTTGATATTCATGTTCAAGAGATACTTGGTACATTGTTGGTTGGAGGGACATTGATTATGCTTCATTCAGGCGGAACGATTGATTTTGATTATTTATCCAGAGTTTTACAGAACAAACAGATCACATATCTGCATACTGTACCGAGTTTACTACAAAGTTTTTTCATTTTTATCGAGCAGAACGAGAAAGTGAATGCTATGAAACATCTTCGATCACTTTGCAGCAGTGGTGAGCGACTTTCAAACAAATTTTGCGTGCTTACGTAGTGTATGTTTAATGTTGTAGGTGAACCTTTTTCTATTCCTATAATTGATTTGATTGTGAAAATCGATATAACAGATTGTATTGTATGGAATTTGTATGGTCCAGCTGAAACAACCATAGACTGCACAGTTCATCGTGTGAACGTCAAAAATGATACGCAGAGCATTTCAATTGGTACACCCCTTTCTAATTACCGATGTATGATTATGAATGAATATTTACAATCATCTGTTACCAATCAAGAAGGAGAGTTGTTTGTAGGGGGAGTAGGTGTTTTTGCTAGTTATCTTGGTCGTGATGATTTGACTGCAAAAGCTCTTGTTCATATAGATGGTGAACCATTTTATCGAACAGGTGATCTTGTTACAATGGATAACAATGGTCTTCTTCATTATCAAGGAAGAAAAGATCATCAAATCAAACTTCATGGACAACGAATCGAACTTGGTGAAATCGAACGATGTTTACTTAACATTACATCCATCTCAGCTTGTGTTGTCATGAAATGGAAGGATGATTATTTAGTTGCATATGTTCAATCTTCTCTTATTAATGAACAGGAATTGCGTGAACACTGTCAATCTCATCTCCCACCACATATGATTCCATCAGTATTCATTATACTAGATAAATTACCATTGAATCAAAATGGAAAAATAGATCGAAAACGTCTACCTTCACCTAAGTTCGCATCGTCAACTGCTAATATTGATGGTAATATGCTGCGAAACACTCTAGAACAACAGCTACAAAATATATTTAGTCAAGCCTTCCATATTGAATCCCCTCATGTGGAAGCTTCTTTTGGTCAACTTGGTGGAACGTCGCTGGGTGCTATTCTTGCACTTACATTGATCCGTCAGCAGGTATGCAACAAAGTTGACATTGGTCTTTTATTTAACAATCCATCTATTCGACAATTGGCTCAAGCTATAAAACCTTTATTAGTTGTCGTAGAACTCCAGGACACAGGTTGCACAGTCAATGAAATCCATGAAACAGAAGTTCGTCTGACACCTTCATTTGTCGTCGAATCTTTTGGTATTGTACTCCTTTATTGCCAGTGGTTGTTGCCAATCATGATAATTCATCAGTGGTGTCCACTTCTTTTTCCTGTTTTACCAATATGTCATCTTCTATTCTATGTCATATGTTCACGTCTACTATTACCAGAAAATTTTAAAGGAGGCGATGTGTTCTCTTGGAACTATTATCGTTGGTGGTTTTTAGATCGACTATGGAATAACAATACATTTTGGCTGCAACACATACTTGGTACACCTTTATACAATTACTATCTTCGTCTTTGCGGTGCTCGGATTAGTGTCAGTGCACATATTTATACTATAACTATTGATGCTCCATGGTTGTTAGATATCGGTGATGGAACTTGGATTGCTGATAAAACGATACTAAGCTCTTTATATTTCAATGATAGTACTACTTTTGCATTACATTCAATTAAAATTGGTTGCAATTGTTCAATCAGTGCTCGATCAATTCTATTTGATGGAGTTGATATGCAAGATAATATTATTGTTCAGCCTATGTCATCAGTCACTGGTTTTATTGCATCTCAAACAATTATCGACGGTGACGAACATAAATTGGCTTCGTCAGACATTTCGATCATACATAGTAACCGATCATTATCAATATGGCAGAAGATCTATCAAGTTGTCACAATCATCTCACTCATTTGTATTCATTGTACACTCTTAGCTATTGTCTACAAAATTTCTTCAGTTGAGCAAATACCACTACCGATTAGTATTGCTTTATGTTGGACTTTGTGGTCAATTGTTGCTTGCTTTGTCACTCTCGTTCTCTTAAAATTCGTAGTCGGTTCTTGTACTGCTGGTGAGACATATTCAATTGTATCATGGTCATATTTACATAAGATTTGGCTTCGTCAATTGATTGTATCTAGTTTTTATCATGCCTGGTTATTACTAACTGTTTACCATCATCTTTACCCTTTTATTCTTCGTTGGCTAGGTGCTCAAGTTGAAGATGATGTCAGAATTGGCTTTATATATCCCTACTTGTGGTATCCAACAAATCTGTTGAAAATCGGATCAGGAGTTACTAGTTTTGGTCACCTTTTATTAGTTCCTGCTGAGATGACACTTGAGGGTGACCATCGTGTAGACTGGATAACACTCGGATCTCATACAAACCTTGGCAATATATGTTCAATTTTGCCGGGTAGTTATCTTGCATCTGATACTATGGTTGGCAATTTAACGCGTATTAGTCGAGAAACGAATAGCAACAATAGAGATGTTTTCATTGGTGTTCCAGCTCGTGCTATGCCATTTCGAATGCCTATTAGAGAAGCGATGGAAGGTCAAATGAAAACTATTCCACTTTGGAAAACTTGTTTTTCTCATTGTATTAGTAAATGTCTTCTCGTAGACATCTATTGGTCATGTGGGCTTGTTGGTGGACCAATAATTCATACAATGATTGTTTACAGTTTCTATCGATTGTATTCATATGCAGATAATGAAATAATTAAACAAATAATAGGAAGACTACAAAAAGATCATCAAATTTTGATCGGTCCATTACTTGGCAATACACAATGGCTAATTCGGTTATTTCGGGCACATGGTGCGAACATCGGCGACAATGTGATCATACCCGATGTTCTTTCTATTTCTGATTACCATTTGGTGACTATTGGAGATCATGTTCGACTTAGTATCAGCGCTCATATTGTGGTAATATATTCGTTTCTTGTCATTTTTCTTATATATATTATTGTTCTCTACAATCATTTCAGTGTCATACTTTCGAACAACGTATTTTTAAACAAGCTCCTGTTACTGTAGGCAACTCGTGCGTTCTTATGAGTTGGTCAATGGTAATGCCAGGTTGTAAATTGATGGGTAACAATCGGCTTTATCCTTTTACACTCGTAATGAAGAATGATGTATTGCAATCAGACACACAATGGAAAGGACTTCCTGCACGTAAGTCATTTAGATAAATGAAGCTAGGCATACTAGTATATTATAATACTATTAAAATACTAGGTAATATTCTGTAAGTTTCAGTTTGTTCATAATACTTTGTCATGATATAAACTCATTTAACTTTCATATAATTTGTTCTGCATCTCAGAATGAAAAAAAGATGATTTTAATATTGAAAAAGTGAATGAATAAGTCATTTTGTACTATTGACAGCAGGTGACTAGAAAAGTCATCTGATCGATATGATATGTCATATAGAATAGATTTTTTTCTCATTAACTTTTCGATTGACTATTACCTATAATATATATTCAACTCACTCAATATACTTTTGTCGTCTTTTATGACTTGTTGTTAATATACATCAAATTTAAATGTATTTTGCCATTAGATTTGACTCTAAACTATTTATTCAAATCTTATCAGTTCGAGATTTGTATTGCATATCGATGAAAAAACTTTGCCGGGTTTCTTCGTAACATGAAACTAATCGATAACGCATACTTTCTTTGTTATGAAATTTATTAAACTATTCCAATATTCTCGTTATCCTCAATTTCATTTCAAATATCTTATACGTAGTACACTCTAGACGCGATGAAAACCAGATGTCGATCATTACACTGAACAGTATTCCATTGAAATCTGAAAATCTAAAATATACATGTCATACGATCTGATAAGATTGTATATTTGCTGTATTTTTTCTAGAATTGAAAAATAATGTCACACATTTTCTTTTCTCCACATCTTTTTCTTCGATTCTCTGAAAGTATTATCATTCAAATTTAAACTATTCTTCTGCTGACCATGTCATATGATACATATATGCATCATTTTATTGTATCGAATTTCCTTCTTTTAGAATCTTATGCAGCAAAATCAATATTACCTCGATCTGCATCCACTTGTGATGATGTTGTCAAATGTCAACAGAAATCTGAGAACTTTGATCGACTGTCTTTGTGGTATAAAAAAATTTCAAGTATCTATACGAATGTCAATGAACTACAATTTATGAATTGGGGCTATGCAGATTTGGAGGAACATATCGATGACAATACTGGTTATTATTCGGAGAAACTTTATCAACAGGTACGAGAAGATGAATGTAATAATTTATGTGAATGTTTGTAATAACACCTCACAGGTATTTTAAGCAGATTGATTTTGCTGTCGATTGAAAAGTCAATGAAGTGACGAATCTGTGTAGATGTAGAAGTAATAGATAATAAATCGATCGAAATCGAAGAATTTTTTAATTGTAACTCATTAGTACGAACAGGTCAGAATGAATTAATCACAATATTAATTGTGACAATATCGACGTAAGATTTAAATCTTTTCTTCAAACATATATTAGAGAATGTGTAGAATTACTAATTACAACTTAATCTACCTTTCTTTAGTAGGAAAATTTTGACGATGAATGCATTAAAGAATATCGAATATAGTAGCAATCATCATTAGAGTATTTTGTTTTTTATTCTAGGTTCTTGCTAATGTAACACTTCCAGATAAAAATATACTCGAAGTAGGTTGTGGTAGAGGTGCTGGTGCTGCCTGGTGTGTTCGTACATATGCTCCTCGCTCTTATGTTGGAATAGATCCTTTTCGAGATGTTATTAACCTGTGTGAACAACTTTATTCGACAATTCCTCGACTCTCATTTATAATAGCTGATCCAAAAACTCATTTACCATTTCAGAATGAGTCTCTGGATATTGTTCTTTCGATTGAAACAACAAAAATTTTTGATGAAATAGTAGCAGTGAAGGAATTCATCGATGAAGTTACTCGTGTGCTTACTCCTAATGGATACTTTCTCTGGTGTGGCTTATGTAATGTAGATGGATCAAATGTATTGATTGATTATTTAACAGCAAATAATGCATTTATTATTGAAGAGAAGGTCAATATTACCACAAATGTTCTTCATGCACTTGATATTCAAAGTAACTCACGTGCTGACTTTATTGACCGTTATGTTCAACCTGAAGAACAAGAATATTTTCGTTGGTTTGCTGGATTACCTGGTACTCAAATTTATGAAGACATGAGCCAAGGACTTTCGCAATATTGGCGCGTTGTATTTCGAAAGAAGTCAACAAGTATGCTTGTTATCTGAAATCATATTTTAACTTTACAGTACAAACACTTTTTCTTTTTTCAACTAACTTTACTTTTTATTTTTATCCTTACTTACTAATATCATATTATTCTACTTCATACTAATATTTCATTTTTATTTGTTAACTAATAAATTATCTTTATAATCATGAATCGCTCTTCATGTCATCAAAAGGTGTGAACAATTACAAAGACCGATTTCGACTGAATTTCACAGTCTCATCAGTTGGTTTAGTTATATCTTTAACTCTGATTAAATACGAATTAAATAAATAACTGGAAATTCAATCCAAATCAAAGGTTATTGTATACAACAACAGATTAATTTGCAGAGATAAATTGCAGTTAGCCGCAGTGTAAACAAGTGCCGTGAACGTTTTCTTAGTTGTGGATTTGTATTAAAAAGAACTACTTTAACGTGTTTGGATCTTGGTCAAAAATGTTGACGAATGGCAATGTAATCCTCGTAATAAGTACCATTTAATAAATTGAATAACTGAAGTGAAGTCGAATAGTAGAAATTAATGTTGATTATATTTAAAGTTAAGATTGGGAGTAACTGCTATTAGATGGGGTGGGTGTGGGGGGGGTGGGTGTGGGGG